GAGGCAACATCACTAATTAAAGAATTGTGTGCTGTCCTGAAAAAAATAGGGAATATGGTGATAAACGTATATCAAATAAAGTTAAAATCTATAAGGTCCTTGATATTAAGTAGAGGATTATAGCAAAAAGGTAAAATAAAATAATGTATGTGTAATTTTTTATAAGTTTAATTTATTCTGTATTTTATTGTATTATTATTACACTGTTGTTGCTGTAGCTTTCCAGATGGACAGGGCTGGGCTGGAATTCTGGGTCCTCCACTCACAAGCTGTGTGAACCTGGGCAGAGATAGGCAATCCCTGAGATTGAGAGGTCAGCAAAGAAGGCAAAGGTGGGACACAAACACGCTCACTGGCTTACGACCACAGGGGAATCCAGGCCCCAGCTAGGGACCCCGGAGACAGGTCCGCTGGCTGGGTCCTTCTCTGCCCCTGCTCTCTCATCCTTGGGTCCGCTCCGGTTTGGTGCAGCAGGTGGCAGTGTTCCAAGAGAGCCAAGCTTGTGCACACGTGCCTTTGGAGCTCCTGCTTGCATCACATTTGCTGATGTCCCACTGGCCACAGCAAGTCACTTGGACAAGTCCCAAGTCCATGTGGGAGGGGGCCACGCAAAAGCATGGATATCGAGAGGTGTGGTTCATGGGGGACCGTTAATGTGATAGCATTACAATGGAATGGACAGCGTCATGTGCAAGGCACGCTTGACCCTCAGCCCCTACTCACAAGCTCAAGTGAGACCTTCCCAGGAGCAGCCAGAGCATAAGCAGGTAAGACCAGCAGATGGGGCTGGCGCTGGTACAGTCCGAATTATTTCAGGGGACTGTTGCTTTGGTAGGAGGGTTGAACCAGGGTCGGGGCAGCCCAGGGGAGGCCATCAGAGGCCCAGTAGGGCAAGAGGTGAAAAACACAGGCTCTGGAACAGGGAGACCTGAGTTCAGGTCTTGACTTTGCCATTTACTTGTTCATAGCTCTGGGCTAGGAACTTCCCCACTTTGGCATCTTCATCTGTAAAACTGACCTCACATGTTGTTATAAGAGTTAAATGAGATCAGTAGAGCTTAGCACAAAGAAGTGGTCTGTGAATGGTAGTGGTTGTGGCCAGTGTGGCAGGAGTGGTGGTGAATAGAATGATAGTCAGTGATGACGGGGGACAGAGGGCAGGAGTGCTCCGGATGAGCAGTGAGCCCTGGACGGGTGAGGGTATCCCGGGCAGATGGAACAGTATGTTCAAAGACATGGGGGTAGGATGAGTTTCATGGCCTTAACACACTGTGATGCTGTTGGAGCAACTGGAGGTGGGGGGCATACAGATTGTGTTTTCCCAAGAGGCCATAGGACTCTCTCCCATCCCCCATGCTCTTCCAACAGTGTGGCTGTTATGGGCTGAATTGAGTCCCTCCCAATTCATACGTCGAAGCCTAACCCTAGTACTTTGCAATGTGGAGGGAAGGTCTTTAAAAAGGTGATTAAGTTGAAATGAGGCTGTTAGCGTGGGCCCTAATCCAATCTGACTGGTGTGCTGATAAGAGGAAATTTGGACACACAGAGACCTAGGGGTGGGCATGCAGAGGGAAGACCAGGTGAGAACAGAGCAAGAGGGCCACCATCTGCAAGCTAAGAGGAGAAGCCCCAGGAGAAACCAAACCCGCTGACACCTTGATCTTGGATTTTTAGTCTCCAGAACTATGGGAAATACATTTTTATTGTTTAAGCCACTCTGTCTGTGGTATATTGTGGCAGCCTTAGCAAATCACTACAGTGACCTTGGCATTCCTCCCATTTTGGAGGTCCATGTTCTTTCCCCTTGAAGCTGGGTGGAAACATTCACACTTGAGCCAAGCGGCCATGCTGGCTGGAAGCCCGAGCCCGCGTGGAGGGGCCACATGGAGAGACCCTACGTAGCTGTTCCTATTGACGACCTCACTGAGGTCCCAGCTGACACCCAGTGCCAGTCAGCACACACGTGAGTGAAGGCACCTCCAGATGATCCCAGCTCCCAGCTGTTGAGTCAGCCCCAACCCCAAGTCTTCCCAGCTGATGCCCCAGATAGGTGGGACGGAGACAAGCTATGCCTACTGTGCCCTTTCCATATTTGGGACCTGCAGAATTTAGGAGCATAATAAAATGGTTGTTTCCTCCACTAAGTTTTTAGGAAGTTTGTTACACAACACCATGAATTCCCAAAGGCTCTTCTAGAGCAGCTCCCACAGGCCTGGCTCTCGCCCATAAAGGCAAGGACCCCCTCTCTCCATCCGGTGCACTCCCCAGCCTTGATGCCGAGCTGTTGCTGCCACCTGGTGGCCAATGGAAAGAATGCAAGACCCACTGTTCTCCCGTTTTTTTGGTTTTATTAATTAATTAATTAATTTATTTATTTATTGACTTATTATTTATTTACTTATTTATTTTAAATTTTACTTGATTAACATACAGTGCAATATTGGTTTCTGGAGTAGAATTCAGTGATTCATCACTTACATACAACACCCAGTGCTCATCACAACAGGTGTCCTCTTTAATACCCATCAGCCATCTAGTCCATCTCCCACCCACCTCCCTCCACCCCCCCTCAGTTTGTTCTCTATCATTAAGAGTCTCTTGGGGCGCCTGGGTGGCTCAGTAAGTTAAGCGTCCGACTCTTGATTTCAGCTTAGGTCTTGATCTCGAGGTCGTGAGGTCAAGCCCCGTACTGGGCTCCACGCTGGGTGTGGAGCCTACTTTATTATTTTTTTTAAAGATTTTATTTCTTCATTTGAGAGAGAGAGAAAGAGACAAAGAGAGCACAAGCAGAGGGGAGGGGCAGAGGGAGAGGGAGAAGCAGACTCCCCGCTGAGCTGGGAGCCCAACATGGGGCTCCATCCCAGGACCCGGAGATTGTGACCTGAGCCCAAGGCAGACGCCCAACCATCTGAGCCACGCAGGTGCCCCTGGAGCCTACTTTTTTAAAAAAAGTCTTTTATGGCTTGTTTCCCTCTCTCCTTTTTTTCTTTTCCCTTCCCGTATGTTCATCTGTTTTCTTTCTTAAATTCTACCTATGAGTGAGATCATATGGTATTTGTCTTTCTCTGACTGACTTATTTCACTTAGCATAATACCCTCTAGTTCCAGCCACATTGTTGCAAATGGCAAGATTTCATTCCTTTTGATGGCTGAGTCATATTCCATTGTGTATATATAACACAACTTCTTTATGCATTCATCAGTCGATGGACATTTGGGCTCTCTCCAGAGTTTGGCTGTTGTTGATAATGCTCCCTTTCTTTTTATTTATTTTTCCTGATTTTCCTATTGCTCCCTTTCTCTTTAAGAGAAGCTTATTCTCACTCATTCTTTCATTCCACAGACATTCACAATCCCTGATGGTGGTGGGTCAAGTGTAGTTTTAAAGCATAATCTAACATTACTGGTTCTTTTTTTAAAAATTTTTTTATTGTTATGTTAATCACCATATATTACATCATTAGTTTTTGATGCAGTGTTCCATGATTCATTGTTTGTTCATGACACCCAGTGCTCCATGCAGAATGTGCCCTCTTTAATACCCATCACCAGGCTAACCCATCCCCCCACCCCCTCCCCTCTAGAACCCTCAGTTTGTTTCTCAGAATCCATCATCTCTCATGGTTCGTCTCCCCCTCTGACATACTCCCCTTTTCTTCCTCTCCTGTTATCTTCTTCTTTTTCTTTTTTCTTAAAATATGTTGCGTTATTTGTTTCAGAAGTACAGATCTGTGATTCAACAGTCTTGCACAATTCACAGCGCTCACCGTAGCACATACCCTCCCCAATGTCTATCACCCCCCCCAGCCACCCCATCCCTCCCACCCCCCACCACTCCAGTAACACTCAGTTTGTTTCCTGAGATTAAGAATTCTTCATATCAGTGAGGTCATAACATTACTGCTTCTTATATGCTTTTGTCTGTGGTCATGAGATTTCAAGTCCTCAATCCCTTAAACTTTCTTCTAAAATCCAAAATTCTCTGAAAACGGAAAGATTTTCGTCAGTTTACAAAACCTCGCTCAGTAGCTAGGCCTCATCTGAACTGACATGAGGCTATGTATCCTCTCTCATTAACATTTCCCAGCAGAAATATTAGTGTTTGAATATGCCCTAGACTCCTCTAGGGGTGTTATATAATAGGGAGCACTGGTTCTCAAAGTGTGGTCCCCAGACCAGCAGCATCAGTGTCCACTGGGAACTTGTCAAACATGGAAATTCTCAGGCTCCACCCCAGCCCTACTGAATCAAAAACTGTGGGATGGGGTCTAGCCATCTGTGCTTTAATGATCCCTAATGGTGATTCTGGCTCTTGTTTAAGTGTGAGAATCACGGTCTCATGAGTATATACTCTAGAGAGTATATGCATCACATTGCATTGATAAAACCCAAAGAAACCTGAATTCCAAAGCACATTTGGTCCCCATGGTTTCAGATAAGAGATTCCTTGCAGACTTGTATTTTGAAATTTGAAGTCACGTTAAAGGAAGCCATGAAATCTTTATGTTTAAGAGGGCAGTGGGGATGCCTGGATGGCTCAGTCAGTTAAGGTTAAGCGTCTGCCTTCGGCTCAGGTCATGATCTCCAGGTCCTGGGATCGAGCTCCACGTTGGGCTCCCTGCTCAGCGGGGTGTCTGCTTCTTCCTTTCCCCCTGCTGCTCCCCGCCTTGCTCGTACTCTCTCTTTCTCTTAAATAAATAAATAGATAAATAAATAAATAAAATCTTAAAAACAAGTAAAAAGAAAGAGGGTAGTGATTCCTTGTAGAAAGGGTGATTCATAATAATAAAAGTCAACTTCTCCTGAGTGTTTACAACCTACCAGGCACTGTGGCAAGTGCCTACACTCACCAAGTCCACACAATGAACTTAGAAAGTGGGCATTTTCATCATTCCCATTTTATGAGTGGGGAAACTGAGGCCAGGGGCGTGAGCAATTACCAAAGCACGGAGAGGGCCACCAACAGGAGCTGTGGCCTCCAGTAGAGGAACACAGCTAACTCACATGGCCTTGTTTCTTCAGCACTGTGAATCCTGGGGCACCTCCCTTTGGCTAAACTCTACAAGTCAGAGGACAAGGGCATCCCTATAGCTTAACCCGCAGTGGGGCTGAGCAGGGTAAAAGATGGAGAATAGGGGCCATGTGTTATATATATATAAAAAAGCAACTTGCTTTTTTCTCTCACATTTTGTTTTCCATATGTATCTATGTTGATACAGGTGGATTTATTTCAGTTCATTTTCTCTGCTCTTTAGCATCCCATCATATTCAAATAGGCCTTCACTTATTCGTATCAATTCCCCTACTGGTGGGTAGTTAGAATGTTGCCCATCTTTTGCTATTACAAATAAAACTACAATAAATATTCCTAGACTTCTCTTTTCCTACACAGGTGGGAGTCTCTCTGCAGGCCAGGGGCTCCTAAAAGTGGAGTTGCTGGGGCACAGGACGTGGACCTGCCTATCCAACTTTTCCAAACAATGCTAAATTTCGAAGTGGTTGTACCACTGTTTAGTTCCCCTTACTCCAAGGGGTTCCTGTCATATCCCTGGGCTGTCCCTCACTTGAAAGGACTTTTTTTGCCTTTCTGACAGCCATTCAACTTTTCTCTCCTGAATGTCTTACTTGCGTTTCCCCAAGAATTCCGAAGCTGAGCACCTCTCCAGCCAATCTCTTATGTGAGGATAAGCATCTTGCCTTCTCACTTAGGCTGTGCCTGTTCATCTTCCAAGCCTAGATTTCTAGAAAGCCAAAAGCCCTTTCCTCTCTTGCCTGAGGCAGTAACACATGAAAAGTGCCACCTGGGCCGTGGGTGTCACCACTCGGAACTGGAGAGCGACTTTGTTTGCTCTGTGTGGTATCTGTCCTTCCCCAGAGGCAAAGAGTGACAGCAGCTGATGGGCACCCAGCTGAGGGCAAGAGCGGTAGCAACAATAAAACAAAAATCGTGGGGAAGAAAACCTAAACCTGTCTGCTTTTTCCAAAATATTGCCACATTTCCCAGAGCTGTTTACTGAACCCTAGGGCATGCTGGGACCGGTGACCTGTTCTCCGTAAACCCTTCCAACATCTTGTAAAGCAGGGCCACTTCACCCGCTCCACAGATCCTCCCTGTGCTCCTAAGTGCCGGGCCTTGTTAGGCCCTGGGAATTCAGTGGCAGACAAGACAGACCTGGTCCCCGCTGGTGGTGCTCACCATCTATGTCAGTCTGTCAGGCCTGCCATGACAAAAGACACACACGAGGTGGGGGTGGGGGGGCTGTCAGCAGGGTTGGTTTTTCTGAGGACTCTTGGGCTTGCAGCTGGCTGTCTTCTCCCTTTGTCTTTTTTTTTTTCTTTTAAAGATTTTATTTATTTATTTGACAGAGAGAGAGAGAGAGAGAGAGAGAGAGCATGAGCAGGGAGAGGGGCAGAGGCAGAGGGAGAAGCCGGCTCCCCATGGAGCAAGGAGCCCGATGCGGAGCTCAATCCCAGGACCCTGGGATCATGACCTGAGCCGAAGGCAGACATTTAAAGACTGAGCCACCCAGGCGCCCCTCCCTGTGTCTCTACAGTGTTTTCTCTGTCTTTAACATTTTCCTGTAAGGACACCAGCCATACTGGATGAGGGCCCACCCATATGACCTCATTTACCTTCATCGCCTCTTTCAAGGTCCTATCCCCAAATGTAGTCCCGTTCTGAGGTCCTGAGGGTGAGGACGGCAACATATGAATGGAGGTGGGATGGGAACACAACTCAGCCCATAACACTCTCTAATGGGAGAAGCAGACGTTCATCCAGCGGTTGGTTACAAAGCTAGGTCAATTTGTAGCTGTGTTCTCGGGGTTTGACTGAGAGGCTTCTAGGAAACCTTCACTGAGGAAGTGACATTTGGGCTGAGCCCCAAAAGAAGGGCGGGAGTTCAGCAGGGAGAGAGGGAACAGCAGGTCAAGCAGAGGGCAGAGGCTGTAAGAGATGAAAGATGGCAGTTCCCTGCAGGGCATTGGAGAGATGAAGGGCAGCCGGGTTGTTGGAGGGAGGGGCCTCCAGGGACGGTGACACCCTGCATCGGTAAAAATCACCGGGGCACCCCTTAAAAACACAGATCCTGGGCCCTCACTCCAGGCCCCCTGAATCTGAATCTCCAAGGGAGGGGGCTCAGGTGTCTGCATTCCTTCCCACTGTCCAGATTTTGTGATTTTGAAAAATATCAAACTTGCAGAGAAATTGAAAGCAAAGTGCAAGGAACACTAGGAGAGCCTTCACCTAGATTCACCACTGGTGACTATTTCGGCACATTTCTGCTTTTCTTTCTTCCTCATTCACCCTCTCTTCGGCAGGCATCCCCTAAGGATGAGGGAAGGACCTTTCTTCCATAACCACAATACCGTGATCATAGCTCAGAGCATTAAGGTTAATTCAGTAATGGCATCTAATATATACATTCTTTACTTTTCATCCAGATCCAATCAGAGTCCACGCTTTATATATATATTTTTGGTTGTGTCCTTTTAATCTCTTTTAATCTAGAATAACTCCCCATCTTTTAAAAAAAATTAACTTTTTAAAAGAGAGTCTAGGCTTGTGGAATGCCCCACATTCTAGATTTGCCTAAATTGTCCTCATGATTAAAACCAGGTTAAGTATTTTTGGCAAGAATATGACATAGACAACGTCGCGTACATCATGTTACATCACATTAGGGCACGCGCACAATGTCAGGTTGTCCCGTTCTTGGCGATGTTGGGTTTGATCATTTGGCTCAGGTGGGGACTTCTGGATCTCTCCATCGTAAAGGTACATTTCCCCCTTTTTAATCAGTACATAATTTGGGACAGTCATCACTTGAACCACACGAATATTCTGTTATCCGGCAACTTTTTACTCAGTGGCTCTAGCATCTGTTGATGACCCTTGCCTCCTCAGTTGTTATTAAACTGGTGACTGCACAGTGGCATCTGCATTTTTAGTAAGTGCCCCAGGTGATGCTTTTACTCAGGAAATTTGCGAAACTCTGCTCAAGTCAAGGTAAGGGATGCGGGAGAATGGGAAGTCACCATCCTGGCAGCTGGAGGCATTGACTAAGACCTGCTGTTCTTTAGCATCAGCTACAGTGCATATCCCGAGGCCCCGAACGTACTACACCGAACGTACTACACCGAAGAATGAGGAAGGAGTGCAAAGGACAGGCCTGGGAAGCAACATTTTAACACTCTTCCTTCCCTTCCCCTGGGTAATTCGGTGCTTCCCAAACATAGACTTAGGTAGCCATCCTTAGCCTGGCTGCACATTGCATTTTCAGCTCACCTGGGGAGTTTTTGTGATCCGCGTGTATATGTGTGTGTCTAAAGGTAGGAGCCCCACCTCCGGAATCTGATTCAAATGGCCCCGGGGTAGAGCCTGGCCATCAACCTTTCCCAAAGCTCCCTCCGTGATTCCAACATCCTGCCAAGGTTGACAGCCACTCACTGGGTTCCGAGGGTTCTCTGTAAACTGAAGATAAAAATGAAAACCCATCTCTCCCCTCTCCTAGTGACCCTGAAACTCCCAGTGTTGCAGGACTGAGCTCACCTGCTAGCTGAAAACATCTGGTGCTCCCTCAACACCTCTATGGGGCTCCCACTGTGTGCAAACATTTCTGACTGTGCTCTTTGGGAAGCTTACTAAAGAGGTCAAAGAAAGGTCACTTCCCTCAAAAGCACGAGGACGTGGGAAAAAATACACACACAAACACATGCAAGTCTTGTACAAAAGGAGTTTCGCAGACCAGGAAACTGGCCCTCTGGAAGGGGAAATGACCGCCCGGCAAGTTCACGGTGGAGCCAGGACCCTTAGCCAGCGTGCCTTTCTACCACTCTGGCTCATTTTCACCTGAGCCCATGCTGCACTTGCCGCATGTCTGTTGGTTGGGCCTGGCCTGCCGCCAACACCTTCACCAGCCACCTAGCAAGGCTCACGGGGGGCCAGGCATTGGACTCAGTATTTGCTAAATGAATGAATGTAGCTGGCCCAACACCTTGCCCACTGGCTGGCATTAAGAACCAGTGGCTCAGATAACCTTGAAAATGAATCCCTTTGGGCTGGATTAGCTCATTTTCCCACAGACTCAGGAGTCTCTGGGCCTTTCTTCTTCTGGAGTCCTTGCTTTACATCAGAGCAAACATATAATGCACCCCAATTCTACCTTCCGTGTCATGTATATGTAATGATGAGTTCGCTTGAGCTGCACTTGACCAGTTAAACAAAAGTTATTGTAGATATTTAATTCTATATTTGTAAACGCTGACGTTTCAGATTTTATGTATTGGGGCCAATCCATTTATTTTTGGGTCCAGTGGAAATGGGACCATTTCCAGTGGTCTGTTAGAATGCTCCTTGGCCTTGGACTGTACCCTAATGTCTCAGAGACTGTAGCTGAACTCAAAATAAAGGGCAGGGGGACAGAGGCTTGGAAGGCATGGTCAGTGTTGCTTTCAAAGGACCAGTTAGCTTCTTTGGGGGAAAACTTTACTGCGATAGAAGTCACATACCATACAATTCACCCATTTAAAGTGTACAATTCAGTGGATTCTGGTATATTCATGGTCGGGCAACCAACACCACATCAGTTTTAAAACCTTTTCATCACCCCCCAAAGAATCTAGTGTCCTTTATCATTCATGCTCCACTTGCCCCCCAAACCCTCTCCCAACTCCAGACAACCGCTGATTGACTATCTGTCTCTAGAGATTTGCCTCTTCTGAACATTTCAGACCAACGGAATCACGCAGTATGTGGTCTTGTGTCTGGTTTCTTTCACGTGGCACAATGTTTTCAAGGTTTATCCATGCTGTGGCATGTGTCAGAACTCCATTCCTTTTGATGCCCAAATAATACTACATGGTATGGATATACTGCGTTTCATTTATCCATTCATCATTTGATGGACATTTGGGTTGTTTCCACTTTGGGGCTAGTATGAAGAATGCTGCCGTGAAGGTTCGTGTACAAGTTTGTGTGCATGTATGCTTTTATTTCTCTCGGGTGTGTACCTACCAGTGGAATTTCTGGACTAGCTGGTAACTCTGGGTTGAACATTGTGAGGAACTGGCAGACTGTTTTTGAAAGCAACTACACCATTTTACATTTCCACCAGCGATGTATGAGGTTTCTCATTTCTTCACATCCTTGCCAACACTTGTAATTGCCTGTCTTTTTTATTATAGCCATCCTGTTAAGTTTGAAATTGTGCCTCATTGTGGTTTTGATTTGCATTTCCTCCACGGCTAATGATACTGTGTATCTCCTCATGTACTTACTGGCCATTTATATATCTTGTTTGGAGAAATATCTATTCAGATTCTTTGTCAAATTTTTAATTGATTTATCTACCTTTTTATTATTGAGTTGTAAGCGTTCCTTATATATTTTAGATACAAGACCTTATCACATATACGATTTGCAAGTATTTCCTCCCATCTTGTGGGTTATCGTATTAGTTTGCTCGGGCTGCTGTAACAAAATAGCACATTCTGGGTGGCTTAAACCACAGAAATTTCGTTCTCACAGTTCTGGAGGCTAGAAGTCCAAGATCAAGGTGTCTGGAGATACGGTTCCTTCCAAGGTTTCCCTCCTTGGCCTGTAGATAGCCATCTCCTCCCTGTGTCTTCATGAGGTCATCACTCTATGGGTACGTCCCTGATGTCTTTTCCTCCTCTTAAAAGGACACTAGTCGTACTGGATTCAGGCCTCACATTATGGGCCTCAGTTTAATTTAATCACCTCTTTAGAGACCTTATTACCAAATACAGTTACATTCTGAGGTACTGGGGGTTGGGACTTCCACATGTGAAATTTGGGAGGGGGACACAATTCAGCCCACAACAGTTATCTTTTCACTTTCTTGATGGTGTCCCAATTTTTGTAACACAGAAGTTTTTT